ATGATGATGTGCCTTGGTGTGTTCCTTCTTGGGTCCACCTTCTTTGGGACTCTCTGAGCTTCCTGGATTTCCTGGCAGTCTATTTCCTTTGCCAGATTGGGGAAATTCTCCTTTATTATTTGTTCAAATAAGTTTTCCACTGGTGGCTGTGCCTTTCCCCCTTCTGGTACCCCTATAATTCGGATGTTGGAGCGTTTAAAGATGTCCTGGAGGTTCCTAAGACTCTCCTCATTTCTTTGAATTCTTGCTTCCTGACTCTTTTCTGTTTGGCCATTATTTGCTTTCTTCTGGTCCACTCCATTGATTTGAGTCCCAGTTTCCTTTTCATTGCTATTGGTGTCCTGTGCAATTCCGTTCATTTCAATTAGTTTCGCCTTCATATATTTGTCTAATTTGTTGGTATAATCAACCAGTTCTGTGAGGATCCTGATGACCAGTGTTTTAAACTGTGCGTCTGAGAGTTTTGCTATTTCTTCATCGCTTAGATCTATGGGCTCTGGGGCTTTGAGATATTCTTGCGACATTTTTGGTCTGTTCTGGCCCTTTAAGTGTGAGAAGTGGTGCCTTGGACTCCCAGGTCGCTGGGTTGTGACGCTGTATGTGGGGGCGTGGTCAGAGCGGGGAAATGGCGGCGCCCTCCACTGCCGCTTGCCGCGGGGATCCGCCGTGCCCCGGTCCAACTGCCTACTCCCTCGCCTGTCCGCTCGCGCACAAATAGACGACCACAGTCAACACGCAGCACCACTTCCCCGCCGTCTCCTCCGCGGTCGCTCGCCTGGTGGCTCGCTCGGTAGCTCACTAGGTCCAACCCTGCGCCTGGATTCCGCAGGCCTGAGTCTGTCTGACCGAGACCTCCCATGCAACCCCTTACCAGCCGCCGGTTTCGCCCCTTACCGGTCAGGCTGAAGAATTTGTTGTTAACGGACTTCCGAAAAGTTCAATTTTCCATGTTCTGGCTGTGTTTTCTGTTGCTAATATTTAGTTGTCTCTAAACTTGGTTGTGTGAGAAGGCACGGCACATCCACCTATGCCTCCATCTTGGCGGAAGTCTGGGCCATTTCTTTTTTTTTTTTTTTTTTTTTTTTGTCTCGTTGCACCTATTACATTGAGGGACGGAACCTTAGGTGTTCACCAGGGCGGGGCCATGCAGTGGCTGGGTAGTGACGCTGTATGTGGGGGCGGGGTCCGAGAGGGAACCAGGGTGCTTGTTCCACTGTTTGTAGGACCTCCGTCCCTTCTGCCACCTCTCCCAAGCAAACTAGGCCTTTCTGGTGCTGAGTCCTGTGTGGGTGGGTTTGTGCACATTCTAAGACCCTGTGGGTCTCTCCAAGGAACTCTCCTGTGAGGCTGGGAGTTCCGGCACCTCAACACCCATAGGTGTTTTGAGGCTTTATTTCCCAGCACTGGGACCCTGGGTTGCGCAGTCTGTCTCGTTCCCCAGTTTCCCTTGGTTTATCTGCATATGAATGTGGGACCACCCGGTCCACCAGCCACCTTGTTCACCATGCCAGGCTTCATAATCGCTATCTCGCTGGGTCTTGCGTGGTCATCTTGTGCCCCAGGGGCTTGTCAGCTACTGCCTTGCGTGCATGGTTCCATTGCATTTTGTGTTGTGACCCTTCTTTGCCCGCCTCAACTCTGCCCCTCCTACTGGTCTGGATAAATGTGTCTACTTTAACTCCTTGCTTATCGGACTTCCATACAGTTCGATTTTCTGTCAATTCTGCTTGTTATTTTGTTTCTAAATTGTTGTTGTCTTTATTTTGGTTGTGAGAGGAGGCACAGCGTGTCTACCTATACCTCCATTTTGGCTGGAAGTCTTCGCTATTTTTTTTTTCTGCTTCTGGTTGGTTCTGAACCGACTACTGGCACCCAGGGCAGTGGTTCAGTCACTTCCAGCATCAAGATTTTTTTCACTATGCTCTTGGTAGAGCCCTGATATGTTATAAAACAGGTAAAAGCAAACGGTAGTGCTTCAGGCAGTGTAAGTCATGTTTCCTTATAAAAATCCGGAAGCCCTTTTGAGAAGACCAAAGGCTCTGTGAAACCAGGGTGAATCCACAGGTGTAGCACAAAACCTGGTTTTCAGCAAATTTAATGAAGGCTGCACCTACAACTTTGGGGTTCCATCTGCCTTCCAGTGCACGGCATTGTTATTTATGCTAGATAAAAATAAAATGAATGTGATATTCTGCCTACTGAACAGGTTTAGGGCGTGCCTGCCATGTGTCAGGCACGGTTCTAGGTGGGGAATACGTCGGTGAACAGATAGACAAAGGTCTCTGCTGTTGTGGGGTTTGCCATCAGTCCGGGGAGATGGGACAATAAACTGCATAAGGGAGTTACACAGTGTACTTGAAAGTGGTGAGTGCTATATAATAAACAGGAAAAAGGGAATGGAGCACAGTAAAGGGGAGTTGAAGGGGTGCAATTTAATTTTATGAAGATTTTTATTTTTACATGGGAAGGGACGGAGAAAAAGAGGGACAGAAACATGGGTTGTGGTCTCGTGTACCCCCCCTACTAATAATGTTGGCCCAGCCTGCAACCCAGAAATGTGCCCTGACTGGGAATCGAACCAGCAACCCCTTAGTCTGCAGGCCAGCAGTCACCCCACCCACTGAGCCACACCTGCCAGGGTGAGAAGGGGGTAGTTTTAAGCAGCCTTGTTGAAAAGGCAGTAGTATTTGGGCCCAGGCTTCACGGAAGTGGCAGGGATCGTGGGTTCCTGACAGAGGCCTGGGCCAGGTGTGCGTCCGCCGTGTCTGAGACGGCAGCAAGCCCGCGTCTGGGCGTCTGCTCAGTGGCGGGTTTCCGTAGACACACGGGCCTGTCGGATTTGGTGCAACTGAAGAAATGTGTTAATGCCCCTTTGTATGCCCCTTCGTATGTCCTTGGGGAGGAGGCGGTGGGTCCCCGGCAGGGGCCAGTGCGGGGACCGCCACTTTGGTTCTCACGCCTCTTTCCCCATCTCTGCTCCGTACCCCGCAGCGCCTCCCGGTCCAGAGTGGGTCCAGCAGGAGCTCGGCCGCACCGCGCCCTGGACCCCGGTGGTCACCGAGCGCTGGTTTCCCTGCTCCAACCTGAGCCGCCAGTTCCAGCTTGACGGAGTCGTTTTGGTAAAGCCTGTTCTGCTTCTCTGGGTGTTGACAACTGAGGCCAGAGCTGGTGTGTGTGTGTGTGTGTGTGTGTGTGTGTGTGTGTATGCGTGTGCACACTTTAACAGACCACATTTCATGAGTGTAGTTCAATAATATGAAAAATGAATTACATAACTGTGGTTCCAGGTGGGTACTGGACTTATGACTCCGGAAACTATATAAGTGTCCACCCACTACGCCGCACTCGTGAGACGGACATAAAATAATACTGAATGTCAACTGTAATTAAAAAAAAAATTCTGAAGAAGCAAATTTACAAACCAGTAGGATCGTGTTCACCAGAAGATGGACAGGAAGTTGGGTCGGTAAGGACGCACAGGCAGCGCGCGATCGACGGAAGGGAACAGAAGGACGAAAGGACGAGGAGATAAACGGACAGCTGGTCATATGTCACATAGACGGAGAGGCAGGTGCATCAGAGGGACCCAGGCCGATGGGGAGACAGGGAAGGCGGGGTGCAGAGGTGTGTGCACAGGGAGCTGGAAGAACAGACGGATGGACGGGGGCGGGGAGGCTGAATGAGGAAGGGGGGACTTCCTTTCAATAGCGCCCGCCCCCCGCTCCCCACTCCGTGACCTCCCAGGTGGGCTGTAGGTCCCTCCGGTAAGTACGCGCGCGCCCCGCCCACACCTGCGCCGACCCCACCCACTCACCGGCCAGACCACGCCCACTCGCCCGGTGGTCCAACGCCCGGGGGCGGGGCCTTAACCAGCCCCGCCGGAAGTTCATGAGCTGGGTGCGGCTGCGCGAATGAGGACTGACGCTAGTGGGGGGAGATGCTCTGCTGGTGCCTAAACAGCTTCTCTGCGCGGCGCAGGCCCTTCTGGGTCTCAGTCCCGTCACAGTACGTCCCGGTCACACCTGAGGCACCCAGAGCGCCGGCCCTCGCAGGTGAGCCGCTGATTGTGCGGACACACCGCCCCCTAGTGGGAGCTGTGGTCTCCTGCACAGCGCGCGCCCTCGCTGGTGTTTTCACGCTGGTTTGGTTAACCTGTCTCTCGCCCAGAGAAGGCGGAGCTTTGCCTTACCTGCCACCAAAAACTGAAGGGGGAGAGGGCAGGCTTCTTTCTACACAACTGTTAATGGTTCCTTTCTGTAACGCCCCTACAGAAAGAACTCCATCAAATCTGAGAAGAAATACCAAACCCCTGTTGAAAGGCATTCTCCCAAGTCAGCCAGTACTCGAGAATGTAACAAGAAACTTAGGAATGAAGCTAAAGGGACGTGAAATCTAGATCTTAATTACGGACTACAGAGCACTGAATGTTAAATTTCCTGATTTTGATTCTGTGTATCTACACACATTTTCTGAACCATTGAAAATCAGAAAAAGAAAAATGGGTATATATAGAGCGAATATACTGTAAAGCACTTGGGGCAAAATGTAAAGAATTGGTAGATACAACATCCGGAAGCTCCTTTGTACTGTTCCTGCAACTTCTCTCCAACTTTGAAATTACAAAACATTTTTAGAATGTGGCATCTGACAGAACAGACCTCCATCAGCAGCCGGACCCACCAGGGTTCTGCCACTTCCTCGCAGAGACCAATCAGCACATAAGCATGGTGGGCGCACACACACCCAGGTCAGCACCAGCAGTAAAATGCAGACAGGTGTGCAAAACGCAAGTGAACAGCTCCTTCCCTCACTACTCAACAAGAGGCACAGGCCCAGCCCAGCATTCTCCCCGCTCCCCGCACTTGCAGTTGACCCACAGCATCGGCAGGTCCTAAGCTCAGAGCCATCCACCAAGGGTCCAGCTGGCGAGCTCTTCCTTCCCCAAGAAAGAACCCCTTCCCCTTGTTCCATCGCACCCGACCCCACAAACGACACAGGCAAAGTTGTCGATGGTTTATTGATAATATTACAGTAGAAAGATTCAAACAGCTCCACGTGGTGTTTTGAAATTCATCCCGACTGTAGGCTGAGTGACCTGCAGGTTGGACAGACTGCCGAAGTCCTGGAACAACAAAGTGGGTTCAGTCGGCCACGCCAGGGACATCTGTGGTCGGAGCTGCAGGCCCACTCCCCCGGCTGTGCTGGGCGCCCACCAGCTTGGGGTCAAGTTGCTGGGATGCTAAGAAACCCAACAAAGGGCCTTCTCCTCCCCACCTCAGAATTAAAAACTCACAAGGTATCTACTGGAGATCTCAAGGGCCCTGCACTTCAACAGTCAGCTGTTAGACGGCTGTCCTGTGTACTGAGGGGTACTTAACAGCACTCCTGGCCTGTCAGTGTCTGCTAGGGTCCCCGAGCTGTGACAACCAAAACATGTCCCAGGGTGGGGGTATCTCTCCGAGAATCACCGCACCAGGGCACATGTGGAGCCGCTTCCTTTCCGGGACCAGCCTCGGGGAGGCCGGCTCACAATTGGCAGGTGCTGGGCCAGCAGCATGTGAGGGATGCACCCATGTGTGTGAGGTCAGAGGACAGGCCGGGCCCTACCTTTACACAAGCTCAGTCTGACTGGGTCAAAGAACTCAGAGGCCCACCAAATACCTGAAACAACTTCCCATTTTATCCTCCATAACCAATCTTTACAGCTGAAACTAGAAGGCTGCCTTCATAGGACGCTCTAAGTGTACTGGAAATGCCTTTCTGAAGCTAGGTTGTAGGGACATGGAGTTCATTCTATCTGATGTCCTTCTGAATGTCTTAGGCAGTTCATGAGGATAAAAAACAAAACGTGAAGTTGCTCTAAATCATCAACTGCCTAACTGGACTCTGAAGTCCGTGCTGGGTTCACCACACTTGCGAAACTGTGAAGAGAAGCCACAGAATAGACACACATGGCCCTGTTCTTGGGACACTGACACTGAGTGGTGCCTGGTAGCAAGTGCCTGGCGATGACACCATGGCTCATGTGGGTGGTCAGCACACAGACAAAGAGGGAATGAAGTCCCCAAGGGAAAGCTCAGAGAATGGAAAAGAGGAGCAGGGCTGCGACCACGGGGGCAAATGTGAGGACCCAGCCACAGAACTGAGGGTGAGAGAACTGTGCATGGAAAACACTAAGAACACCCAGTATTACTACAGGCGGGAGAAAGCCACTGGGAAGTCCTACTCGGGGCCTCACTTACGAGGAGCTTCAGCATCTCCTTGGTGTCAGGGTCAACCTCAATGATCTCCTGATCCAGGGCTGAGACCTAGAAGGAACAGGAAGGCCGCAAACATCCATCCATGAGCTGTCTCCCACCTTCCCGCCCCTTCCTTCCCCAGCATTCTCAAATGAAAAGAGAGGGGGTGCTCATAAAGGAGCCAGGATAGATCCCACAAGGGAAGCAGTCGGCTTATGGACCACAGGCCCCAAAGTGTGGTCCCCAAGGACCGGTTCTTCTCCATTTACCCTCGCTATCATTTTACTGGTATTCAAAAAACCAAAGACCATGTTACAATTCAGGAACACTTGGGGCGACGCAAAATAATCAAACCAGAAGACATGACAAGATAAGGGCATATGGATCAAGGACCCCCTTCTTCAACTCAGCTGCGGTGCCTTTTGAAACCAGGCACCTGGCAGGGACCCTTTCCTGGGAGGGGGCGGAGACCCAGACAGCTCACCTCGGGAACGTAATTATCCCTCCGCTCTCTCTCCTCCTCCTGCAGCTTGATGGAGATGCCTCTCACGGGACCTCTCTGAATCCGCTTCATCAGATGCGTAACATAGCTGCAGAGTTCAAACGCCCAAGAATACCACTGAGAACAGGTGCAAGGGCACAAGACATCCAGGCAGACAAGCGGCAGTTTTAGTTTTTCCCACAGTGAGAAGGGAGAGGATTCGCCATCCCAAGGAGCCGAGACTCTGGACCACACACTGCTCCGCTGCCTAAACATGCCTATCACAACCGCCATCCCAATTCTGTCAAAGCCATTAGATTCTTAATGGTAATAGAAGAGTCCAATAAGAATAATGCGAGCCCTGACTGGTGTAGCTCAGTGGATTGAGCGCGGGCCTGCGAACCATGCCATCGCGGTTCGATTCCCAGTCAGGGCACCAGTCAGGGCATATGCCTGGGTTGCAGGCCAGTTCCCAGCAGGGGAACGAGAGACCACCATACATTGATATTTCTCTCTCTTCCCTTCCCTTTCCCTCTCAAGGTAAATAAATAAAGTCTTGAAAAAAAATAATGCATATACGTATATGCAGAGTCTTCCGGACGTCTGAGCGTGGCCCAGCTGTCACAGCCAGAGGTGACAGTCCCAACAAGAAACCTTGCAAAACCCCAGGGCCACTGGGGAGGCTTGCGCTCGCGAAACCCTTTGAGCTAAGACCCCGCTCGGCTCCAGCCCCACTTCGGGAACGGCAGACCCAGGGCAGCTCCCGGGCTTCGGCGGCACACCCCACTCACCCCGCTATCTTGTTTCGGAGCTTCTTGCTGGGGATAATGGCGATTTCCTCGCACACGCGCTTGTTGGTGTGGAAGTCATTGCCCAGGCGCGTGTAGTACTTCTCGATGATGACCCGGGCCGCCTTCTTCACGGTCTTGGTGCGAACGCGGCCCTGCGGGTGGAGAAGACAGGGTCATTGCCAGCCAGGACACCCCTCCTGGGGAGAGCGCGGCATCACGTCCCGGACCACATCAGGGTCTGCGGGCTGGGGCTGAGCCCGGGAGAGGAGAGGAAAGAAAAGAGCCGGCCGGGCGGTGCTGGAGCACGGGGATCAACGCGGGAGCCAGTGGCCCATAGAGTCTCTGGCCTGACAGGGCCCGGTGCCCCTCCTTGCGGGCTGCAGGCAGCGAAAAGAGGCAGATGGAAGTTGATTGCGAGAAACAACAGCTCCAGGCCAAGGAACCTACCATCTTGATGGGTCCCTGGTGAAAGAGGAAACAGGAAGTACAAGAGAGGCCTATAAAGCGCAGGCTAGAAAGCCGCTTCCGCCTTGGCCTAGACCTGCGGAGCCTACCCGGGCGCGAGGCAGCGACCCCTAGTGGGGCGGGGCGAAAGCGCAAGCAGTCAGCCACCGCGGGTGGGCGGGGCTCCCGTCTTACAGGCCCCGCCCCCTAGCGTATCCCTGCGCTTTCTCAAGCCCCTGGGTTCTGTGACCAGAGAGCCTCCTGCTGTATGTGTCCAGGCCAAAAGGGGTGCATCTCTTCCTCATATACCAGGGCGAGGGAGGGAGACTGAGTCAGTCCTTGGAAAGGCCACTTGGTGGCATGGAGAGGTGAGGAGGTAGGAGATGTCCCCCCCCCCAGTCTGCAGAGATTTGTCCTGTTAGGTTGGTGGAACCCAAGTATAATTGGGAGAGGCTTATCTCATTTCTCCCCAGCCCACAGGAGGGACTTTCTGTCCAATTTCTAAAGCATCACCATCCTTTTACGTCTGCATCTCTTATACTGTTTTCTGCGGTGTATAATGCACTCCGGTGTATAATGCACACCCACCTTTTTGGCCCAAACTTTCAGGAAAAAAAGTTTTCACTTTTATTTAATTCAATTTTTATTTGTGTTTAAGAACTTGTGTTTTTATTATAAAGGAATTTTAGCAATTTTGAACGGTACAAGAAATTTTATGTAACAATTACAAAATACAAGAGCAGATACAAGGCATTTCACGTACTACTCATATGTAAATAGCGCACCCTTTTTTACCCTAAAAAACTTGGGCAAAAATGTGTGCATTATCCATGGCCAAATACAGCACTTGTCACGGTGACTTCGTTTTCTCATCCGGCTGAGCTCCATGACAGCAAGGGCTACTTGATTAAGCTACTCACCTGAACAGTGTGCCCAGTACAAGGCATGCTTTCAAACCAAGGGCCGTTCACTTGCAACACTCCCAACCATTGAGGCACCTTCTGCCTTCAGGCTGTTCCTGTCATGCACCCATCCTAAAATGAGGCCCTCTACACCCACCAGCCCTGGCCACCTTTGGGGGCCTCAGTTTCTGGAGTATCCTGTCCCCTCCCCCCTACTCTTCTAGTCCCAGGCCCTCCCCCAACTGAAGGGAAGGCTGGGCTGGCCAGGTTGGGTGAGTTAAGGGGCAGAGGGCTAAGCCACATCCTTCAATGTCCCTACTCGTCAGCTCAGTCCCGTCATTCTGGACTAATGGGAAATGAAGGCTGAGGGACAGGAAGCCCCTCTTCTGAGGGACAGGGAAGCCCCTATACAGCATAGGGGAGCAAGAAGAGACCAAAAGGGAGGGTAGGCATTCCTTTGGTAACACTGCAGCCACTTGAGTTACCAGCAAAGGTCAAACCAAGCTGCCGCCAGGCCCCCAATGAAAGGTGAGGTCTCTCCTTGGTGAGGGACCCCTGATCCCCGGCCCTCCAACCCTGAGTGAGTTGCTGCACTTGTCACAGAAAGGCCCTTCAGCATGGAGAGTCCTGGGCACCTCAGCCTAAAACGCACTCTTCCGAAGGATCAGTCTGTCAGACTGGCCGGCTCACAACCCACCTGACAAAACCAGTGGCCCTCTCACCAATCTAGGGAGCCTGAGAGGGCGAGGGCTGGTGACAGGGCTCTCTGGAGAGTAGTGAAAGTACCACGAACGACTCCCTCCCTCGAGGAAGAGAACTGGGTCGGCCCGGTGAGCCTGTGAGGACAGGAAGCCTGTGGACATGGGGAAGAGGCCCGAAGCTCACAGGAAAAACCAGTCAAGCGGCTTGTGCTGATGCCGGAGCAGCTGGGCCCCAGTGCCACCAAGCTGGGTCTGGGACTGAGGAGGAGGAGCCCCCAAAAAGCCTATGTGAGGGCTTTTTATACTTGGACTAGTGGTACCCACCTGCCAGAGAGGCATCTCCACGGTGCACTTGACCATGGAAGTGACCAAGAAGTACCTACAGGGACAAGTCTCCCACAGGGTCCCACCACCCACCTGGGCTGGAATCTCATCACAGGAAATCCAAGGAAATGTGAGTTTTTACTCTGGAGTCTTACTTACGACCCCACTGCTCCCCAGGGCCCACCCTCAGACACAGAGACAAGAAGAGAACTCTGCTGCAACGTGTTTATTATGTGCCAAAAAAAAAAAAAAAAAACCAAACAAACAAAAACTACACCACAGCTTACTCCACACATCTGCAGGAGAGTGCAGTCTTGCCTGCATATACTACAATGAGGTAGAGACTTCACACACAGCTTCACAAAACCCACAGAGTAGCTGGGATATGCAACGGTGCAACGTCAGCTCAGCGGGGAGGGGGGTTATGACACTGGTTCTTTGGCACACAGCTTCCCAAAGAGGGGCAAGTAGATTTAAAAAACAAAACAAACAAACAAAAAAAAAGGAAAAATAAAAGTCAAGTTTTCAAATTCCAGTAGCATTTCCGTCCACTGCAACTGTTGCTCCATAGAATTCTCAAATCGAAGAAACCAGGGAAGAGTTCTCGTCCCCTCTGAGAGAAAGGGCTCCTGTGAGCCTCCGTCTGCCCCACCGAAAAGCAGCCCTTTTTTAGCTCAGTTACAAAAGAAAGAAGTCCTGTGACTTTGTGATTAAAAACTTCTATCAACCCTCCCCCCCCAAATAAGTGCAACTTAAGGTGCAATAAACCATTTAAACTTATATATAGCAGCTGCTCTAACACCATTTACCTGGTCCAGTATGCAACTCAAAAACATTTTTTTCTTGGTTGCAAATTTTTTTCCTTCATTCGCAACTGTGAGAAACAGTGACCAGCAGTCCCCCAGACACAAATTTGCTATAATGTTAAAAGCTGCCAGGAAAAGAAGAAGAAAAAAAAAAAAACCTCTTGTTCCAAATGACTTAAAAACTATCTTAAGGAGTGTAAAAAGGAACCGGTAAAAACCCTCGAGCATAAAATATGAAATATGATTTTGGTTTAAATGAAGAGCAAAGTCTCCTTGTTGTTTACAGTAAAAAACACCAGCTGAACACTCAGTTTATGCCGTTCAGGTGGGGGTTAAATAAATGGAAAGGCACTGTATGGCAACTGCGAGAATGAAACCAGCGAGACCTGCGCATCACCACCATCAGTATTGCAAGGAATGTAAAAAAAGCGCTTTTAATAAATAAACCTAGATGTAGGCATCGTGTCAGTACCTTCCGGACACGTAGTTCTTTTTTGCTTTTCATCGGCAAAATGAGGAACTAAAAATCTGGGAAAACTACAGAGTCGCTTGGAGGGCGAGCCAGAGGGTCCTTGCCCTGCCCCAGCCCCTGAAAACAAACCCGACAAAACTCATTGTGCATTAATTAGTGCAGAAACAAAGACAGACTCAGCAAGTGCAAAGGTGACTACGGTCTTCCCTTGTCCCCGGGAAGCCAGCTCCCTGGTCACCGGTGGCCAGGTGGTGCAGGTTGCTGCCTGACCTGCCAGCTGCGGGCGCTCGGGCACCACAGGCCACCGCACGAGGCCGGCTCCTAGCTGGAATCTCGGCTCTTCTGGTTCCGCATCAGGGGGCTGTGGTGGCGCAGGCCCTCGGTGCTGTGCCGCCAGTGCCAGCAGCTCCGGCAGAAGTACTTGAAGCACACCTGGCGTGGGGAGGAAGAGGGGGACAGGGCTTTCCTGTGTCAGCATGGCCAGCTCCGCCCGTCAGAGAGAGGGGCTTCCGGTGGCCTCCGTGGGGCTAGAACAGAGGGGCTCCCGGATCCCTCTCACCCCAGCGCAGGCCTGACCGACCCACAACCCTGCGGTCCGTGTTCCCACGGGTGCTGACTTCATCACACATGCTGGGCTCCCTTGGACTGCGTGCAGAGCCTGTGCCGCTCCCCTTGCCCCCTCTAGCCCCTGCCCTTCCCTCACCGACAGCGGCTGCACTGCAGGCTGCCCCTGTGCAAGGACGTCAGAGCCTAATGCAGACGACGTGCCTTCTGCTTCACCTTAACTGAGGACAGGCGACGGTACGCCTCTCAGTCCCTGGCCCACTTTATGCTCTGGGCTGTGTGACCTCTGGCAAGCCCCTGACCTCTGAGCAATCACCTGAAAACAGGGCATCGTCTGTGAAAGATCTGACGCCCAAAGCCTGTCATGGAGGCGGATCAGAGATGCTCGTCCCCAGGCTTGACCCAGCAACCCAAACACACTGCACACCCTCACTTTGCAGCCTCAGTTTACCCACTGACTACCCGGAGTCTGCAAACTGGGCGACAGCCAGCACCACTGCGAAAGCCAGGCGTGGATGGACCACCGAGCCCCACGCTGCCCTGTCAGACCAGCAACACTGGCGCAACCTGGAACCTTGTCAGGAAAACGGGGTCTCAGGCCCCACTCCAAACCCACGGGGACACAAGCTGCACTGAAACAAGATCCTTGAGTGGTGTGTATGCACATCATAGCACGGGGAGCGTTTCTGCTGAACGCCCCCCGCCCCTGCCCCAGCCCGGATCTGTGCAGCATCGCCCAGAAACATTAGACCAAAAGCTGCCCATGCTGCTTCCAGCCTGTTTACCACAACTCGGGGTACAAAGCCCTGGTTGGGGAATCAAAACAGGCCGAGAGGTTCAGAAGTAAAGAAGGGGGTCCCTGAGTGGGGGAAATCAGCATGGAAGGTGTCGGAATTTGAACAACACTGCTTGGCCCACGGGTACTGCTGACCACACCCACCCAGGCCCGTCACCCTCTAAAGCCAATGATGGGTCAGCAATTGCACGGCACTGCCTGCCAACATCCTGCACGAGGGGAGGCCCAAGTATCAGGACGACTCAGCGAGTGTTCCCGAGAGCTGAAGGTTAGAGGCTACTGAAGTGTGCCCCTGACCTGGCCACCAGCACTTCCTCTTCCTGTGCTGAGCTGACCACCCGGGACCTGAGAAGGCCAACACTCTGTGTGGCGAATGTGGCGTGACCATTTTTATTGAAGGGTGGGGAGGGGTTCCTGGACACCTCAAATGTCTAGGGGGACTCACCTGATCTCGGCAGAAGAAAGGGCCAGGCTGAGAGCTGCAGATGTGACAGAGAGAATCTTCCAGGTAGGGGTCGATCTGAACCTGCACAAAGCAAAACAGGAGAAGGAAGTGGCTCTCCTCACCGGGAGGCCAGTGGGCCGTGGGGGAAGGCGTACTGCTGGGCCCTCTGTGGGGCACAGGGCGCTTCCTGAGTTAAAGAAGCCTGGAAAGAACGACGGGCGGAGAGGACAGATGAACACACCACAGAGGGCCCGGCTGGCGGCCTCTGCAGCTGGATGACCGCATGCATTCGTTCCTGCTTGGGCCTCCCGGCACACGGACCCCACACACTTCCACCCAGTGACAGGTGCGTGTTCGGAGGACACAGACCAGGGGAAGGACGTCAGGCTACCTTGCAGTGCCCGTTCAATACCACAGCCAGGGAAGGCGGAGAGGGCCCAGCAGTGCCAGCCCCGATTTCTGGAGGAACAGACACCAGGCTCACCCTACTCCCTGACCTGACCCCTGTGGGTCCCCTGGTGCTTGGTTTCCTGCCTGGGGCAAACCCCTGTCTCAGGACTGCCCAGGGTAGTAACGGGGGGCCCGGGAGAAGCAGAGACCTGCCCTCACCTTCTTGGTGAACTTGGTGGTTTTGATCTCCACAAAAGCAGCGCTCACGGCTTTCAAGTAACTGCGCTGGTTATTGAAAGTCACACGACCCGACCCTGGAGTAGGAACAACAGAACAAGTGTGCCTTTGGGACTCCCCTGCAACGCCCCTTGTCGGCACGCAGGAAACTGTTTCCACACTAGTGAAATCCCTCAGACATATAACGGGGGCAACTTACGCAATTTCAAGTTTTCTTGGAGCCATGTTTAAGTAAGCAAACAAGTGGTGGAATTAAATTTTAATAATGTATTTTATTTAACCCCACATATCCCAAATCTTACCATTTCAATATGTGGCACTGGCTACATTTCAAGTGCTCAGTAGCCATACGCGGCTGACGGCTACCATGTTACAGACCATGACGCCATGAACCCAGCAGAATGTGGGGGGTGGGGGAGAGTCCTCTGGGGTGGGCAGACGTACAGGTAAGATGAAAAGACTCAGAGTGGAAACCAAGATTCGGAGAGGACCTCTCTCTGAAGGTGGCCTGGCAGCCACACCCTCCTCCGAGGTCCTCTGAGACCTGGCAGGGAGCCGGGCGCGCCCAGTGCACAGGGAGCCCCCCACCTTCCCAGTCTGCAGTGCCGCCCCCATGAGTACACGGCTCCTCCCAGCTCCTAGACCAGACCCGGAGGGAGCGGGCAGACGGGTGTCTGGAAGGGTGGGGGAAGGGCAATGAGAAGGTTCGGGCTCTGCCCCGCCTCAGACCGCTGCCCCCGCCCTACACTGGGGTGTAGTCCCCTGACTCTACAGCTGACGGCTGCACCACTGCCTGCGTCACCCAGGGCTCTCCTTCAGCCTGACCCTACACAAAGGACACCCCTCGAGAACTCTTAATAGAAGCAGCCAGGCAAATTCAGAAAAGTCCGAGCTGAATAACGACACACGACCTGTTGTCTGTCCCGGACGGTTTGGCTCTGAGCGTCCCACCCAAGTTCCTGTCTCGTTTTCACCTGCTAGGTCTCCTACCTCTGTGTGTCCTCCCTGTCAGGGGAGGCGGGGGAGGGTGGGTGCAGAGGGGTCGATACGGTGGCTTACCTAGAAAGAGACGCTGAGCTGTGGGTGCACGTCCGTCTGCAGACCTGGGTCCGCCTCCCCCTCCGCCCCCGTGGGGACGTACCACAACCCTGGGCTACCTCCCAGGGGCCACCGAGCCTCCCCACACAGAAGTGGGACACTCACCAATGGGATACTTGTGCTTATCTGTGTCAATCCCGGCGTAAACCACTCCCCCAAACAGGTCGTTCAGGATGGCCGCCAGGGCCTCGGCGTTGAGCATCCCGTGCAGAGCACCCACAAACACCGTCCTGCTGGGGTCGAGTCTCTGAGACGGGCTCCGGACAAAGTTGCTGTCAGCCAAGACCCAGGGGATCACTTGTACCTGCAAACCACCCAGAGGTGTGTCACCTGGCGGGTGCGCAGACAGAGGCTCCTGCAGGTGTGGAGCGGTGCTATGGAGGCCCGGGTGACAGGTGAGGAGGGCCTGTTGCCCCAGCACACCAGCCACCCTCACCACTGCCCAGAGGGAGTGACTTGCACTGAGTCCGTGTGTCTGGGTGTGGACAGTGAGTGGTCCAACAGCAGCCCCTCCCCCTGGAGAGCAGGTAGGACAGCTCCAAACCATCCCACCCAGGATCCCAGCACCACGTCAGAACTTTCAACTGTGTGGTGCCAATGAAGCACCCGCGACCCCGAGAAACAGGGCACAGCACAGAGTCCCCGGGACGGAAAGGACTGCCCGGGAAACTGAAGGATAGGAGCTGGAAGATAGAGGGAGGATGCTGAAGGGATCTGTCTGAGATGGTCACTGGCACCAGGCCTCAGGGGCGGTGGCAATGACTGGAGGCAGGCAGCCGGCCACGGAGGCTCCCGGAGCTGTGTGACCCTGGGCAGGCGCTGACCAGCCCTCTGCCTCCGAATCCGGAGCCTAGAACACAGTCTGGCAGAGCGGGCAGGCGGGGCCCCAGTGAAGTGCACCAACGGATAACCAGTGTTTTAGAGGACTGACGTGTAAAGGTCTAAAAAGAAGAAATGTCTCAAAGCAGAAAATGATAAAGTAATTCTTCGTTTCTTCCTAAACAAAGAAACCAGCAAGAAGAAACAATCATTCAGAGGAAAGGAGAGGAAGATGGCAGAGGCCAGGGTGCTGGGTACGGAACAGCCAGGACCGAAGGCTCACCCTGGGCCTTGGAGGTGGGGTGTGGGGCAGCCTAGAAGAATCAGGACTGACACATTCTGGGCCCAGAAGACCCTGGGGTGAGAGAGCCTGGCAGAAGTGACCACAAAAGCCAACTTCACCAGGAGATGAAAAAGCTCATTTTGCTCTTCCCACTCCCACGGGAAGTACCACCCCTGTGGTCCATGCCCCAAGGGTCACCAGGCTTTGCAAGCTTTCTCTCACACTAAACAGAAGAGGGTGAACCTGGCCTGTTACTGCGACAAAATGTGAACGAACACCAGGAAACACCCAGGTAGGAAAGAACCAGCTCTGTCACATGGATTATTTAATTCTGATGTGACCATCTCAATAAAATAGACATTTTACCCCTGCCCCTGACTCTACAGATTTCTTAAACAATTTTATTTATTTTGAGAGAGAGGGGAAGCGATGGAGAAAGAGGGAGAGAAACATCAGTGTGTGGTTGCCTCTCATGCGCCCCCTACTGGGGACCTGGTTTGTAACCCAGGCATGTGCTCTGACCGGGAATCGAACCAGCGACCCTTTGGTTCACAGCCTGTGCTCAATCCACTGAGCTATACTGGCCAGCCAGGGCATCGACAGATTTTAACAGACTTTATTTTCGAGAGTGGTTTCAGGTTCACAGCAAAATGGAGCTAATGTGCCTCCCACGCCTTCTCCATACAGGCCGCTTCCCGCACCAGAGGTGCCTTTGTTACAACCGGCGAGCCTCCACAGCCACGTCACTATGCACCCAGGGTGGTGTGGCATGTTCCACGGGTTCTGACTCACGTGTTCACTGTTGTAGTGTCACACCTACCCACCATCCCTTCCCCATGAACCCTGGGAACAGTTTTCATCTTTTTACTAAAACATGCCTCCGACTTCCCTGTTTCTAGATAAGGAAATGAGGTTTCAGCGATGTCAGGTGTCTAGTCTGATGTCACGCAAGTGACGTGCTCTGGAACCAGAACTGCGAAGGAAGACCAGTTCCTAACTGAACCGAACGACTTCCGTTAAGGGATGTGGGTCCTCACAACCTGAGGGCGTCTGGAGCTCAGGGCCCAGTGACGTCCTTTAAAACCCGCTGCTCCAGCACTGTCCCCTGGAGCCCGTGGGCAGTGTGGCGGAAGAGGAGGCCCTCTAGCTCCACCCAGACCGATCCAGTACGTCTGAGAAGGAGCCCAAGAACGTGCGGTGAGGTCCCAGGTGGGGAAGGTAGGCTGGAGACCCAGGGTGCGAGGGGCCCACAGGCCGCCAGCAGGAGAGGCGGGAGGAACAAGACTGCACACGGAGAGAACCACAGAGCTAGCGAAGCCTGACTGGGAGGGGCAGCAACCACAGGGGGAGGAGGGTACAGAGCCTGCCCCCCCCAGACGGGAAGTTGGCTGTGAGAAAGCGGCTTCCTCGGGCGGGAGCGCACACACCATTACGACCCAAAGAGCGCTTGTTTTCTGTTAGGAGCGGCCCTCTTGCCTCCGCAGCAACACGCACCTGCAGCCGGCGAGCACGCCCACCCCCAGGAGGCCCGAGGCCTCACAGGTCAGCTGCCCCCGCCCAGAGAGGACCTGGGGCTGACTCACCTCCTTGCAGCGCATCCTCCGGCTGGCCATCTTGAAATAGTATTCGCTCAGGCCGTCCGGGCTCAGCGGGTCATGAGAGCAGGCCTGCAGCAGAGCCCGGACGGACTTCTCCTGCTCGAAGACCAGGTACACGTACCCTGTTCCCAACAAAAGGAGAAACGGCATTGAAACCCCTCGGGTGGCTCCTCCTCAGCCTTAGTTCTGTGGCTGGGAGGGTCTCCTAAGAGAACCGACCTCGTGTGTAAGACAGGGTCCTGCCCGACTCCTGAGGAGTGTTGCTGAACGGAGCCCCTGCTCTGCCCACTGCCCAGGCCAGGGGAGGGAGGCCGTCCGTCCGTCTCCCAGCCAGGCAGGGAAGGGACTGGCAGGACACAGACCCGTCAGAGCACGTGGCTGTCCACGAGGCACGCCGTGTGGGTCAGGTAAGCCAGGCTTCCTGCCCGAAGGGAGGGCAGGTCTGTGGGCCACCTGGGGGGTGCGGGGAGCTCTGCTCTAAAAGCCTAGTTAGACCACTGGTCCGGTTCCTCAGCACATTCCTGGTGGAGACGGTGCAGGGTGAAAATAGCACCCGCTCCTTTCTACAGGGAAGGGACCTCATTTCCGACCACTGAGGAGTCAGACGCTCAGTCCGTGTCCCTGCCAACCCCAAAGGGACCTCCAAACTAGGTCGGGGGACGGCGCAACTGGGCAGGACAGGCAGGCGAAGAAAAGCTTTCCAAGTGCCTCGTTTCGAGAGGAAAAAAGCCACTGGGTCTGGGTTTGCAGGGGGGAGTACACGAGGAAGTTTCACGCAGGGGTGTCTCGGGAGCTCCAACTGCAGGTAAGTTTGGGACGGACAGACTGTTAGTTCGGAAGAGACAGAGGGATGTGCCGGTGGGAGGGCAGGGACCGAGATCTGTGCGCGCCGAGTGCCTAAACCACGGTCTGGCATGCAGCGGTGACACCTCCGTGCAGTCAGGTGCTAGGGGGAAGCAAAAAGCGCCTACCATGTCTGCATTACCTTTAGGCACATTACCTTTGGGAGGGCACCGCGGGTGCTTGCCATCCTTACCAGGCCACTCCACACTCAAAGAGCCGAAGACACGGAAGGTGTTAATCAATCCAGCTGCAGAGAGATGGACAAGAATGGTGGACGCTGCAGCACGTCCGCACCGGGACAGCCCAGCGGCCCGGAGTCTGGAAGTGCAGCAACTCCCTGTGCTCAGGCAGTGGTTCGGCTGCAGCCTCCAGCCCATGCGCCAAGGCTCCTGAAAGACATGCCGGCCCCCCTGCAAAGACAGAAGCAGGAGGGCTCAGGCAGCTCACCTTCTGTAATATCCCAAGGAACACCTCCTAGGAACACTTTGCAAGAGTAGATGGGGTTCTTGTAGTTCCGGGGGGGAAGCTGACCACTCCAGGTACAGGTAGCTTCATTCACGGCTGTGGTGGAAGAGGAAGAGAGAGAGACGGGGACCAGAAAATCAGCAAAGGCACTGCCTTCTCTGGGTGAGGTTGTCTGGGAAGAACTGGACAGGCCACAGCCATAGCTGGCTGCGGGCAGAACCATCCAAAAGGGCATTACTACCCAACATCCAGATAAAGAACACCCAACTCCACTTTCCCTGCCTCTGCCCTACACTCCTCAGTCACAGAAGTCAGAAGTGCCAATAAAACCACCAGGAGCAGCCCCACAAGAGTGTCGCAAATGTCCCCACATCAGGGCTGTGCCCCACTGTCCCAGAGCCATCCATGTGGTGTCAAGCCAGCACTGGATCTTCTGTATGATAAGGGGTTCCCCCTCAACCCCTCAGCATCCTTTTGCCACCAAAGACGAGTTGGCTGGGACCCACCGTGAGGTGGTTCTGACTGACTCGAACACCCTGTTAAGAAACCCTGGCCACTGTAGGGAGTGGATCTGCTCCTGTTTGGCCCTGACCATTTTTTTCTAGAGGCCTCTCTGTTCTTGGTGACCAATTCAGCCTTCTGTCAGTCCTGTCCCCACTTGGTCTGTGCTGTTCCAGACTGGAGACTGACAGCATGGGGAGGGGCAGGGGCCGTGGAAACAACCGTCCTCATCACTCAGGGTGACAACATGGAGGCTGCTCCCTGAGCGGCCTGGGCCCAGTGTGCTGCTAGGGCCGGAAACCAGGCACCGTCAGCAATGCTTTGCGAACAGAAACAGAAGTCAGGGTGATGGCCTTGTCCAAAGCTGTGGTCATGTCACCACACAGGAAAACAGTGGCACTGGAGAAGGTGCAGAGATGGCAGCCAAGGCTGTTAGGTGAACAGGGCCGCTGTGCTCTCGGGGGAGGGTGAGATCAGGCCCAGCTCAGCACCCAGAACCTTGGCTGGGGGTGCCCCCAGAAGTCTGAGTAAATGGCGACTGCACAGCTGACTTCTGAGCACTGGTGTTGAGATGAACAGCAAATCTGGAGATCATGTGATGACAGAACTCGGGGGTCTGGGAGACCAGGACACCGGGGCACATCCCTTCCCTTAGGGGTCCCCGACCGGGTGCACCCTGGGTCTACGGGACAGAAAGCCTCGGGGAGAAAGCTGCAGCGGGGGTGTGTCCGGCATGTCTCTGAGCCAGAGGGGGAAGGCAGACTGAACTCTGAGTGTCATGTTCAAGGTTTCTCTTGAAGACGAGAGAACAAAAAAAGGGACAGCTACACACAGAGGAGCGCAAGTGAGACGGCTCCAACCCTCATGGGCACAGCCCTGTGCCCCAGGGTGTCCGCCTCCTACCTCTCTGCTCACCTCGAAGAACCCCTGGCTTTGTCCCCATTAGCACTTACACCACAGAACAGAGCAGCTTCCCAGATCCAGAGACCTCGCCACGAAACCCAGTCCTCTTCAGCGACAGCTCGCCCATCTGTGACCCAAGGCTGCTCACCCAACGCCCAGAAGGAGGCCTTGCACTCAGCCGGCCCACTGCCCACTCACCTGCAGCCTGCCGGTGCAGCCTGGCCTCTCTCTCAATGCTGAAGGGGTCTTTGGGAGCTTCCAGGAGGTCCCAGGATGGCCACACCGAAGCCCCTGGCCATCTCTTGGACGCGCTGGTTGGGGAAGGAGTGACTGCCGCGAGAGCAGCTTGCTCTTGGTCCATCCGGGACCCAACCCCCATCTTTAAAGACTCTCTGGGGCCACCCCCCGTCAGCGACAGGAAGGGCAGCGGGGGGGAGATGCGGAGGCTTGACTAGGGGAGGAGAAAGGGAGACACGGGTTTTACAGGGCAGTTTGGTGGTAACAGCGAGGATCACACTATGAGAAATACCATTACACACCTGATGTATTTTCTTTCAGACTTTCCTCCCAAGCATTTTAAAAATTACTTGTCCTACTACAATTTAAACAGAGGCTTTTCTCCCCAAGTTAACACTTTTTTTCCCACTTTGCCCAACAGTCTTCATAATGTTGTTAATTAATTTATGATCATCTATTTCGGGAACAAGCTGCATTTCCCCGAACTATTCCCCTATCGCTAAACATTTAGACACTCGCTGAGTTTCCAGGATTATAAACACTTTAAAATGTAGCTTCTTCACATTTTGTATTTTCTTTGGTTGGATTCCTAGGTCTGGAATGTCGAAATGCCTTCTGTGTGTGTGTATGGGGGGGATGGGAGGGGCTCTATGAGAACTGTGTCGGAGCGTTTCATTATGGACTTGCGCCCAGGCTTTCAACTGCACTAATTTAGTGGGTAAAATGATATCCCATTATCAAAAAAAAAAACCCCAAAAAACAAAACCCAAAACAAAAAAACCAACACAGAACAATTGTTCAACAGAACAGAAGTTCAAACACTGCCTCTAGCTCCTCTCCTGTGAGCCGCCTGCCCGCACCCCTTCACCGGCTTACCCTTTGGGTGAGGTTATCTAGAAAGCTCTTTAAATGCAACCCCCAAACAGGAAAGCTTCACGAGGCCCACTGCCAGGACTGACCCCACCGCACATGCCAGGAGCAGGAGCACCTCATCCCACTCCGCTCCCGCGGAGGACACTGTGGCCCTGAGAAGCGAAGCGCCTGCTCCTGGGGGCTGCTGTGGCCTGAGCCAGGGCGAGGGGGGAAGGCCAGCACCCGCTCTCGCCTGTGTCAGCTGACAGGGACGAGGTGCGTGCTATGGGTTGTGCCAGGATCAGGACACTGTCACCACCACCAAGGTTGCCACTCCTGGGTACAGAGGAGAAGGCGGCAGGAGAAGAAGCCCTTCCCGTCACAGAACAGTCTGCTCAGGGAGCTGGGGAGGAGAAGGATGGTTTCTCACAGCCGTCCCCACATGCCTCCTCCTGGTAGCCTCCTTCTCCTGGTAGTTCTGCATCTGCATCTGCTCTAGCCCACTCAGCCGGGGTGCCACGGGCACACAGGGCTGTGATTAAGGAGTGTGTGTGCAGATTAACTCTGAGGCAGCATCTCACAGATCCACAGTGGCCTCCGGCTGAGAGCTGCTGTGGCCAGAGGAAGGGACTCGGGAGCCAGACTCAGTCAGATCTAGCCTAAAATCCTGGCCCGTGAACGACAGGCACGGCGTGTGGATCCTGTGGGTCTGCTTCCAGACCCGCCACGACAAAGCGAGTCTCTCGAGAAAGCAAGACAATGTCCCTTTGCTGGTGGAGGGCCCTGAGTCAGTCTGTAAAACAAGGTGACACCCGGGGCGTGCTACCTTGTGTGCAGACATGGGGTTTTTAGAATCATCACTCAGATATGTGATATCTCAACATAAATGTCCATGAACGACACTGCTTAAAGACACAAGAAAACCCCATGTCGGTCAGGAAACACAGCAATGGAAGACTCCCCTGTCCACTCTGGAACAATGGTCAGCCAGCACCAGCTCCTTGAGGAACTTGGAAACCGTCCTCCCTGCTCACGGGCACACAACGCACACTCTGTTCTGCTGAGGTGAAAAGCTCTGCCTGTGCCCACGGTGGCCTCCGCCCTCCTAGCCCGTGTTTGAGGGGACACTTGCCCACAGCTCACCCCCGACAAGCTACATACAATCAAGTCGGAAAGATGGTCTGATCCAGAGCTGAAGCCACTGGTGTCTGAGTCAGAGGGGCTGCTGGAACGGGAGTCCAGGATGGGCCGCGTGTCCAGGCGGGAGCTTCTGACCGAGGGTGCTGGGAACTTGTCCACCACGTCAGCTCCCAGGGGGTCCAGTGGCAGGAAGCCCAGGGGGGACTTCCCCAGGACACTGCCCAGTGGGTTGTGGAGCATGCTCAGTACTAGGAAGAAAAGAAAAAGGAAGTCTCATGACCCCTCTCATTTCTTCCCAGCCCACAGCCCTTCCCTCTCCTCCCACAGCCACCAACATGACGGGCTGAGGCACGGCCACTGAACGCACCACGCGCCCCAGGACCATGGTTCACATACAACGTGCAGACGCACACCTGGTACCGACACCGGCCACCTGGGGCCAATGAGGAGCAGTTATAGGACAGCTATTTGAAGACCGACCAGAGGCCCCGCTGTAACAAAGGAACAAGTCTCCTGCTCTCTGCCACCCGGGCTTCAGGGTCAGTGCCAGCATGTGGGGACCTGTGCCATCAGGGACCCGGTCGCAGCTGGTATGAACATCTGGAGAGACACACGCATGATGCCGTTGGAGACACCTTCGGCATAGACCACACGCCCTCCTCCCTGCCGGCCAGTGCGCTCATGAGAACCCCCGCTGTTCTCACCCTAGCTGTGGCTAACGCAGATGACTTTGTGCCGCACCCCCGAGGTCTGGCACAGCGTGCACACGCCTCTCCTCTAAGAGCCCCTTTAAGCAATGCGCCCCAAACCTCGATCCTTCGGGATGGAGGCAAAATGACATTCTGGTTGAGCCGCTCTGGCTTCAGACAAACCTGGGACGAAGGCTTGGCCGGATCCCCCTCAGCGGACCATGTGTTCAGGGGAACACTGCACGTCTCCGCTCTGTCAGGGTGTCTTGGGTGGAATGTTGCCACACTGCTGGGGGGCGGGGGGATGACTCAGCACACAGGCAACGTGTGCGCATGAAACACCAAGAAAGAGGGAAGCAGAGCCCAGGACAGGTGAAGGACGGGCTGTGTGTTGTCAGTGAAAGGCGGAGTGACAACAGACCAGCAGCAAACAGAAAAGCAGCCATTCCCGGGGGCTGCTGGCTGCAGGGGCAGACGGGAGGAAGACGCAGGGTGCGTGACCTCAGGGGGCTGAAGGGGGCTGCGCAGTCTGCAACACTGGACAGGCCGCCCACATGGGCATGAAGGAGCCCAAGGGGATCACGGGGCTTGAGGTTGAAACAAATACACAAGAGCAGATACTGAGACCTTCAGAGGAGGAGGACTGGGGGGGGGAATGCGTGGCCCCCACAGACAAAGTAGAGTCCAGAGAGGCCAGAGGAGCACTCAGAGATGGATAAAGTAAAGGTCAGCATGCTAAGTCTCCCAGGGTCGTCCCAGGGAACCCACCACAAAGCAGCGGCACACCCACCCTCAGCAGCAGCCCAAAGGGCTTGCAGATCAGCAAGTGCTAGAGCTACACCTTCACCCAAGGTTTAAAAAAAAAAAAAAAGTGCACCTGAAAAGGTCAAAAAGCAATTTGGGTGCCACCGTGGACCACTTTTCTCAGTCACTGATTTGTGTTCCCTCTGCTGGGACAGCTGTTCTACCAGCCACAAATCCATCAAATCACCTGCAATTTTTATTTATTTTTGTCATGTCCACACAGAAATCTTGAGGCTTTGTCAGACTCTTGTGCCAAAGTGAGGAATGATCTCTACCTCATCTTCCAGGCTAATAATAGCCCTGCCCAAAGAGGAAAAGGCAGGACGGCCCACGCTGGCCGCCAATGACCTCCGCGTCCTTGTGTGTTCGCAGTGCACGGTCAGTCGTGGGCTCTCCTGTGCACCACGATCAGTCACGCTCCTGCCCTGGGCTGGGAGCAGCTTCCGTGTGCTGCACACCCAGAGCATGCCAGGCACTGTCAGAAACACTCGCGGTAAATAATCTTCATGAGTCCTAACAAGGGGGTGTCGTTACCCCATCTCAACAAAGGGAGCCCCACAGCTCAAAGAGCAAGCGTTTGTGCGAGTCACCAACCGCTAGTGAGTGATGGGGAGGGAGGGGACCCAATTCTTTCGGATTCCAAGCTTTGCACCTTCTTCATTAGCATCTTGTTTTTTTTAAATACCTAGATTTGACATCCACTTGCCTTCACGTCCTTGACCGTCATCTACAGCCAAGCTCTCTTGCCTCCCCAAGGTCCGAGCCCTGGGAATACCATCATCCAGGTCTGAACACTTTTCTGGGGCCGGGCCACTGTGGGAACTCATTAAAGATGCACCGTGGGCCCCACCCCAGGCCTACTCGGGCAGAACCTGCACTTTAACAAATCCCAGGGGAGACCTGTGCGCACGTGAAAGTTTGAGAAGCACTGATCTAGAAAATCCCGAGCCTTGCTACTTCAAGTTCCTCATCAGTCCCCCTCACCAGCCGCCAAAATCCTTTCGTGTCCCATTATTTCCCTTGACTTGGAAACTGTAGGTTATTTAAGCACAGCTCCAACGGCGCGATGGCAGCTACTTCCCGAGAGGAGGAAAGGAACCCATGCGGGAACTGAGAGCACTGGGCAGGGCTGCGGGAGAGACGGAGAGGGGCAGACGGCTGCTTTGCCGTGTACCAATGTTAGAACATCTGTATTCTTAACGGTTCAGAAACCACATATATAGACACATACAGGGTGGGGCAAAAGAAGGTTTACAGTTGTTCGTACAGAAAACAGAATAAGTAATAAATAATGACAAGAATAAACTGTTTTGCATGCTCACAACCGTAAACCTACTCTGGCCCCACCCTGTGGAGAGATTGTGGGAGCGATGAGGAGCCAGTCAGCAGCAGGAGAATCGGACGGATAAAGGGGAATACCAGAATCCTCCGCGTGATTTCTGTCTGGTATCTGTAAATTCTTTAAGTTTGAAATTATTTCCCAGAAAACTTTTTTTTTTTAATGACAGGAAAGAAAACTAGTCAATTCCCATTTGACTCTCTGCCGTTTTTGAGGTGATTGATCTCAGCAGAGCGTGAGTGAGCGGGGCTAGACTCCCCAGAGGAGAAAGTGGTACCTGAGCAGCGTCGGAGTCTCTGTCTAGAAGAAATCATCTTCTTCTCAACGAGCTGTTAGAACACACCCGTACAGGCCTCTGCAGGCACACGTGCACGGGGTTCTGCCTGCTCGACCAGGCACACGATTGGCATCCATCCCTACACCCCACCCGGCAGCACTTGGCTCCACACCTGCCAGGAAGTGGGGACTGTGTTCGCTGGATGTACCAAAGGCACTGTCCCCTAGGCCTTAGAGCGAGAATGCTGAGGCCACACCCTTTCCATCACAGCTCCCCGATTTGAGGACGCCATCCTGACTTCCATGAGACTCAGAACTGGGGAAAAAACCTTAGCTTACCCGCCTGCCCAGCCTGTCACCAACACAGAGACTGAGAGAAGCCCAGGTACGTGCCACGGCCACTGGTTTCAGACACTTCCTTTGAGGAGGACTGAACGTACGCAGATGTAGGCTGCAGAGTCCCCCTCCCCTGCCCACCCTCCCACGAACCCACACGGCCCCCCCCAGCCCTGACATCACCTCTCCATTCAGGTGCAAGGAGGGGGTGCAGAGCCTCCCTGAGCTCTGCCAAACCACATAGGGCAGCGGGGGTGCAGGCTGGAGGTGACGGCCAGAAGGGGCAATGCCATTTGGCTAGCGTGCAGGATTAGGGTGCCCAGAATTAACACCTGGGTCATGTCTGCACCGCCATGCACCTGCGTCCTACAAAGACAAAACTGGATGGAGCCAAGGCTATAGTAGGAGCGTGACTAGGAAACACAAGGAAGATGAGAAACCCTAGTGTCCAGGTGCCTGGGGTTCCCAGGTGGTTTGAGAGCTCCTACAACCGCAGAAGAAGCTGTGTTTCTGGAAACTGTCACTCGTGGTCAAGTGCCCTACAGTGACGTGACTATCCCTGTGCAGGCCGCCAGCACGCAGGGCCTGGCCAGGCAGTGCTGAGTATCCACTGGCCAGAGAGAGGGAAAGCTGCGGAGACAGTGGGGTCCCAGGCAGGGACCCCATTTCAAGAGACAGAAGCCGTCTTGCTCCTAGCTCAGCCCACAGAGTTGCCTTGCCCCCATGTATGTGAGTGCTGAGTGAGCGGCACTGACTTCCACGAGCTGCAAGTCAGGAGGGAAGACACAAAGCAGCCGGTCCTCGGCTGGTCCCTTCTTCCTAACGGGAAGGAGGAACGACCAGACAGGAAAGGCACTCTCAGTAAGCCACGAGACCTAAAGTCTTCTGGAAACGACAGGTCCCTGTGCTGCAGGCCTGTGACTCTCAAACTCTGCTCCCCAGCATGGGGCACAGAGCTCACTCCGTCAAGGCCGGGGTCCCACCGTCACCCCTGCTCAGCTACTGTCCTGACCTGCACAGCTCAGGGGTCACAGACAGGAAGTCAGAGGTTCACCAAGGCCCGGCCCTGCTGGCCAAGCACACAGTGACTCCAGAGCCTCCGGAAGTGACTAGGAAGCACACAGCAGGGTCTCCCTGAAGTGGAAGCACCCATGCCCACTCACAGGCTGGCCAGGATTGGCACCAGCCACCGTCAACTCTCAGGGAAGTCACAGGAGAGAGGTCCTGGCAGAGGGCTCCACTCATTAGCGCTCCCTGAGCGGGTGCGAGAGACCAAATCAGCAGTCATATTTTTAGACCAATTGTTAGCTTTCTCCACTGTCACCCTTCTATGCCAGCTCCTGTGGGTTTCACAGCTGAGTCACTGCTGGAATTTTTTGAAGCCTTGCCTAAGAGGACAAAGGCACCGAGAGTCTGACGGTGGCAGCAGCAGCAGCGATGGCAGTGGGAGCTTTGTGCCGGACAGAGGACTGCGTGGAAGACAGTCGGGGACTGAGCTCAGCCGGGGAGACAAGGCCCCAGACACACAGTCAGACATCTGTTCCAACGGGAGAAGTCATAGGAGAAACGCAGACGTGAGCTGGTCGTCCTACCCTGAGAGAAAAGGCCACGTCCCTTCCTCCCTCCCCCAACCTCGGTTCTAGGCTGTGTGTCCAAAATTGACCTGAAGGCTCAGAGGTCAGAACGGGGAGGGTGGCACTCATTCCGGACCCGAGCCTGCAACTCCGGGTGAGCTCCTCTGTCTCATCTCCCTGCTCTGACCATGAATTCCACAGGTCCAGGGTGGTCGTTGACACTGCCTTTCTCCTCGCCCCAATCTGTGGAAGTTTCCCTGACAGAAGAAACCACATGTCCTGCAGCCAGCCACCTCACCTACGAGGGACCCCACTGTCACAGGGTCCCCAGGAGCGCCTCCCCTCTCTGTGCAGAGAGCAACTCCTCCATAGACCGACTACCTGATGCCACCACAAAGACTCTGGCTCCAGTGCCCACCACAGCTTCCCGTGAGTGGGCCACTAGGCCCTAGGAGCCGTGGGGATGCAGAGTCACGGACCCTGAAGAATCTGTCCATCCAGCGGATGAATATGAGTGGGGGCAGGAGAGGAGGGGGTGAGATCTTGCCTGAAGCCTGCAGTTCAGACCCAACAGGATCAGCACGGTGGTCAGCCCCTGTCACTCACTCCCTGACTATGTGTCTGACAGCTACGACCAGGCTCCGCACCGTGTGCTGGGAACATGGTGGCGGAGCGCTGGACAGCCGGGGCAGACTTGCAGGAAACCCTGGGCCTGACGTCCATGCCACACAGAGGAGGAACCCTACTTTGGATGCTGCCTTGGAAGGTTTTTTTGAAAGCACTGCAGATGCAGAAGCAAAATGCAGAGGATACCTGTGCCTCTCGGCCCAGGCCATCCAGCCTGCAGCCAGAAGAGGACCACACAGGGGACCTGCTCCACGGAGTGGAGGCAACAGGACACATGCTCTGGCATCCCCAGCCTCGAGTCTGGTCTGCCCCCAGGCTCCTGGACCAGGCGTCCCTAGGAGTCCTGGTTCCACTTCCGCTGAGTTTTGCCACGCGCCAGAGTCCCCTGGGGGAGGACAGGAGACCGTACCCCAGGTGGCACAGTGCATGAGCTGAGACCTGCCCAGTGCAGGCCCTGGCCCTGAGGGATCTTGGCAACTAACACCTTTGGCTCAGTCGTCCCAGAGTCATCCACACAGGTCCCCCACCTTGTGTTCTTGCTCTACTGTAGGGCTGTGCTCATGGGAACCCAGGTGTAACAGAAAGCTGAGCAGGTTTGGAACCACTGAGATCAGGGCCCGAATCTGGCGGTGGGGCTGCTTTGAGAGCCTGCTTCCTCATCCCCAGGACAGGACCACCATCAGCACCCATCTTCCAGGACGGAGGCATTACAGTCACGTGATGTACTCAGCACAGGAAGCAGTGGATACTGTTGGCGTTCGGCCATGCTACCGCCCACCCCAGGACAATGAGGATGGCATTCACGGGATATGCACCGTCTAGAAAGAAGGGACACCCACGAAATGCCACATCCGAACCAGCACTGGCCTGGCAACCACAGCCTCCAACTCGGATTCCACCCCGGGGGGATTCCTGCGCTGCAGCCTGTGAGGCCCGTGAAATCCACACAGCAGCAGGACCCACCCCTGGGAGAGGCCCTGCACACCAGTCTCCTGCAGGGCACCGAATGAAAGGTCACCCCGCCACACAAACTCCCACGCTGCATTTGGTGCGCCTCCTCACCGTGCTCCCTCAGGGGCCAGGGGATGTGTAAGGGCAACTGTTTTCTTCCCGGTGACTATCTCCAGTGCCTAGCGCGGTGCCCAGCACACACCAAGTGCTTGGTGTTTGCTGAATGAATCTATCCAAGATTTCTCAGTCAAGAGCTGTGCTCTCTGCCAACCTGCTGCCCCGCACAGTGGCGGACACTTGGGAGTGGCAGGAGATGGTCAGAGGGAAAGCCACAGCTGCCTGGGCACCACGTCACCAAGTAGAGCCCAAGGACTCGGTCCACGCAGAGGCCGCCCACGGGGCACCAGGATGCCTGCAAGGACGACCCCCCCACCCAGACTTCCCGGAGCCTCCCTGGAGAGATGGAGAGAGCTGGACCTCACACAGGAAGGCAGGGTGGGCCCTGGACTGTGGGCTGCATGTTCCTGCATGGCTGGCAAGGGTACCCGCTGCAGCCGGTGGTGGGAGGGCTGCACCCCACTGCAGGAGGCGGCACCCGCGTGGGCTTTCCAAGAAGGCCAGGACGCAGGAAATGAGGACACAGCCCTCGTCACAGGGACATCAAAATCCAAGGACAACATGGGGACTGAGGACAGTGTGTCTCCACCCCTCAGAGAGAAAGACATGCCTACACTAGCCCTGCCCACAGTGAGGCCCCACCGCCGGGGCGCCCCCTGGTCCCTCCGAATGCAAGGGTCACACTGCAGTCCCTCCCTGGTCCACGGAGCCCACCGACATTTATCACTCAAGAGCCTGAGATGGAAGGAGGCGAAGGACACCCACCCCCAGTTCAGAGACAGCTGCAAGCGCAGGCCTCTCCGGGCGGCAAAGCTGGGGAAACTATGGCTGGACCTGAGCTATTTTTTTTATGAAAGTGTAGCTGACACACAACACTTTAGTGTCAAGTGTACAACACAGTGGTCTGACGTTCCCATACCTTAGGACGTGATCGCCTTGGTGAGCCGAGGGCCTGCGTGTCTCCACACCGGGTTATTGGGGTGACACGAACTGCATTCCCAGTGCTGTGCGCGACCTCCCTGTGACCGTTTTCACAACGGGAAGTCTGTGCCTCTTACTCCCTCTCACCCTTTCCACCCACTTCTCAACCCACCGCCCTGTAACCATCCGTTTACTCTCTGTGTTGGAATCTTAGTTTTGTTTGTATTGTGTGTTAGTGTTTACCTATAAGGGGGATCATATGGTATTTGTCTTTCTCTGCCTGACTTACTTCACTGAGCATAATACGCTCCGAGTCCGTCCCTGTGGTTGCAAATGGCAGGGCTTCACTCTTTTTTTACTGCTGAGTAATATCCCAAGCTATTTTTACAGCCTAATTTCACAGCAACTCTCAGGCCAAGCTCTCCCAGCCCCCAGATGGGCCCTCCTGCACATCTGCCCGCTGTGATCACTTCTCAGGAAGGCCCCTGTAGCAGAGACAAACCAGAGCCAAAGGAGGGCCACACCCCAACCTGACACCCGTGAAAGACAGACAGGGCCCTCGTTGGCCACTGGCCACCACAGACAGGCTGGTTTCCCAGGGGAGCCCCTCTTTCTGGGGCTTGGATACAGTGGGACGGGGCCCCGGTCAGCTCTGCAGGCCACACAGGTGGGCTTCAGAGTGTCCCCAATGGAAGCCACCATGGCCTCCAACCGAGATCTGCAAGCCCAGGACACCACGTGACACCATGCTGCCCTGGGGCCTTCAGCCCCCACCCTCGGGGAAAGCCTGAGGCAGTGGAAGGCCAGGGCTTCCACCCAGAGGTGGTTACAGCAAAGCTCATCCCCACCTGCAACCAAATTTAAAAGCCCCCAACACTGACCCCCAATCCAGTGGGATTTTACTGAAGTAAATGGACATTAAAATGCCAGCAGACACAGCAGCTCCAGGCTCTGCAAAGTGGTCTAAAAACAGACCTGCACCAGAGAGGGCGGAGGCCAGAGAAACCAACACGGCAGTACCTGGCTGCCACCAGGGCCAGAGCCCGGAGCCGGGCGGCAGGAAGGGGGGCGGCGGCTGGGTGGCTCCTCCTGCAGCAACAGCAAATGGCTGCCCCCCCCCAACCCCCACTGATCCTCCTGAAGTAGCTGCTGCCGACTTGTTATTAAGGCATAACTCACAGACAGCAAAATACGCAGATTTTAAGTATACCTACAGTATTTCTTAAGTTCCCATTTCCTCCTGAATGCTCCAAGACTTGCACATGACCACCCCCTCCCCTTGTACCACCAGAGGGAAGGTCTGAGCAGAAGCCGATCACGGGGGCCAAGGCCCCTTCGATTTGTCCCCATCGAATCCCCTGGGTGATAATCAGTCCTCAAGGGGAGCGGCCCTCCCTTCATCCACTGGGTCACCCTTCCTTTCCACCCTTAACACAAAGGAAGGAAAAAGGGCCTCTGTAGCCGACAGCTACTCCACCCTGCTCACCCTGCCCACCCCCTTCCAGGATCGATGCTCTTAACCTGTGTTAAGCCAATTCCAATCCCCCAGGATCACCCAGCTCACTTGCCACGACCCAGGGACCACCGGATCTGCACGAGAGCACCCTAGCCTTAAGGCCACTGAGAAACAGAATCTGGACGTCCAGCAAGCAGCCCCTGAAGTCCCCTCCCCCACCCAAAAGTGTTTTGCTTCATCATCTCTGAGACAGGCCTGGGCATCAGGGGGTTTATCCGGATCTCTCCTGCCTCGGGCTGTCACCTTGGGGACCCTTCTCGGGGCCACCCCAGGTGCAGACTAACAACTCTGGGGAATTTGTCAGGGTAAGCGGAGAAGCCGTGCTTGCCCTTCTGAGCCACCATCTGTCCTGCACGCTCACGGCCAGCATTTCCATCTCTTGCAAAACAGCTCCATGTTGTACGTGGGGAGGGGTGGGGGATGCAAAGGGGAACAGAACAACTGTTGCTGTGGATATCTCCGCTGGCTGCCCGGCGCCCCCTCCCCCCCAACCAACTCGTTCTCTGGCACTCACCCGACTGTGCGCTGCTCTGGGCTGAGGAATCTGAGTCCTGGGTGCTCCAGGGTCGGTCCCAGCCTGTGAGACTGAGCGACTGCAGGCCAAGGCACAGGTCATTTGCATCTGGGAGGCCCCGGGGAGAATCTTGCGCAGAGGTGGGGAAAAGCATCCTGCCTGTGACTGTTTCTTCCGAGTCCGGGAAGTCTGTTTCGGACAGGAGGACAGCAAAACCCCAGAGTTAAGGGCTGTTTGCCCTGATGTTATCAACAATAATTATTATTAATAGTAGTTTCCCCAGGCTCAGGGACCAGACGTCCAAGTGAGCGGGATGCTGCAGCAGCTGCCTCTGCACTTTTGGGGGCGTTAGAGCCAGAGCAGCGGCCATGCAGCCCCCTCCCCAGGCACACACCCCATCCCGTCCGCATTACAGACTGGCCAGCATGTGATCAGGCTGCTGATGCTTCCCGCTGCCAGTGACATCAGCCGGCTGAGCCGTGCAGCAGAGCGAGCGGCATCATCCCTCACAGCACGGGGAGGAGCAGGAGGGGACGGCGGGGAGGAGACTTGCCTCCCGGGGAAAAGGCAGCACAGCGGCTACTTGGAACAGCCGGTGCGGCGCCGGTAAGTCAGGGTTGTGAGGCAGCGCCCTCAGGTCTCCAGCGATGGTGGCCCGGTGGCCCTGAGGCAGGACTAAGGTCCTCGCTGCCTGCCGACAGCAGAGCCAAAGCTGCGCCTGCTGGCTGGTGGCGCTGCCCTCCTGCCCCTCCCGGTCCCTCCCTCTGCTCTCCACCCCCAAACCCAAAAACACTCTAGTCCTGGACTCTCTCCAGCTGCTTGCTCAAGTCCCGGTTTTGCAGCCCAGTGCAAAGCTCCGCGGTCCTGCGAGCAAAGACCCATGGGCTCCAACCGGCCCCTGGGCAGCACCCTGACACAGCAGTGTTTTCCACGGAGGGATGGGGTAACCTTCAGAAAAACACTGAACACGTGCACCCCGGGCAGCAACACTTGGTGCTCTGGGCGTGCCTGGAGCTGCTGATCACAGAGAAAAGGGGTCAGGGCTGGCAGTGGGAGGGGGAGTCGCGGGGCTGCTGGAGGTGCGGCCCACAGTCTACACCCCAGGCCTAGGGAGACCTGCCCTGACTAGGGCAATCGTCAGGAGCACATACATGTATCAGGCCCGGCGCCTCCCTCCCTCCTGCAACTGGAGGCCTAGAGGGACAAAACACTCCCCAGTGTCTGAAAGACCGAAACACAAGCGGCAGTCTCAGATGTGGCCTTACACCCCACAGAACCCCCATTCAGAACCTTGTGTCACCAGCTCTGCCCGTTCGGGGGCCTGAGAGCTGTCCTGCCAGCTGTGAGCATCCCTGAATGGGTCAGCTGCCTGGTCCCCTCGCATAAGGGCTGCTGCCAGGACCGAGGCCCCGTTTCTGTGACCCCCCCACAGCTCCAGCAACCAAGACCAGCTCTTCCATCTTGCCCTCGCCAACACCCTCTCTGCACCAGTCTTTCTCCCACACAACCCTCAGAAAGGAGGAGCAGCCCAGATTCCAGCCCAGGCTGCAGCACCCACCCTGCTGCTTCCCAGGGGACAGAAGTAACCCTATGTTGGGCGCAGGCCCACCTGGGACCACCTGCCTGCCGAGACAGGGTCCGAGGTGGGCAAAGCGGGCACAATGCTATCACGCAGGAATGCTGGCCAACGCCTCCTGCAGCGCCGCCTGTGTCCACAGGCACCCAGCCTCAGCCCAGCGGGCACGGCCAGCCTGTGGGAGGGACGCCTCCCGGGAGGTTTTTTTTTTAGAGCTTTGCTGCTGTGTCATCCATCCCGCGGTCCTCGCCTGGCTCCCAGTCTGTGTCAGGGCCTCGGTTCACCAGCACACAGGCCTGCACTGCCCCCAGCCAACCTGCCCTCCACGCCCACACGTTCCCCAAGCTACAAGGAGACTTTTCAAAACCATCCGTATGTATTAGCTACAAAACATGATGCTTCCTTTTAAAATACCCAGACTTAAGAAGCCATTCTGCCTCCCAAGCCAGTTCTCTGTATGGTTCCTCCCTTCTACTTCAGCATCCACAGGGCACCATTTCTCCCCTCTCCTCTCAAACCAGGGCATTGTGTATGTGGTGACATGGGCATGCAGAGAGACCCTAATCAGTGACTATCACCTTGCTGCCCAAAGTCTAATGTGACAGACCAGCAGTACTGCCTTCGCCGGGAGCTTGTTACAAAGAGAGGCCCCTAGGCCTCACCCAAAGCCTGTGGGATTGGCCTCCTACTGAAGAGGAGCCCCACTGGAGTACGCAGCACATGACGTCTGAGTGGCACTGACCTAGACCTCAAATGCCGCCCTCTACTCCACCCCCAGAGACCCCGGGCCCGAGTAGCAGGCCTGTGTCAGGATGTTTAGGAACAAGCAGAGCTTGTGATCTAGACACAGCTCCCCTCTGCATTCCCTGTGCAAGCTGCAGCAGATGTCCCCTTTACCCAGCTCCATCCTTCCTCGCACTGGTCCTTCCAAATAAAGGATGCCTTCACTGCACCCACTGAACCCTCAGAGTGGCGGCCAAGCTGGGAGAAACGAGCTTGCTGTGGGGGTCTCACTGACCTTCCTCTGCTCAGGTCTGTGCTGTGTGACCTCTGCCTAGTCACTCAGCCTTTCTGGGTACCTTTTCTTGCCCGCCAAGGGGCAGCTGCAACCACCTGTCAGGTATTTTGCCAGGAAAAGCCGTCCATTTGGTACAGTGTCTGCCCCCCCAAATTTTTACCAGTATTTTACTTCCCATAGGGTGCCCATATAATTTATCACCCAAACAAGACACATGTGAGAGAGAAAGGAGGCAAGTAACAATCATGGAAGGACAGTGGCTTAAACAGAGACTGTCCTGGGTGGAAGGCAAGCAGGGTCATTCCAACTGCAGCCACTCGTGGTCTGAAACATCCTACTCCAAAAGCCCCTCCTTTCTGACAGCTTCCTGACCTCATCTCTCCCCACTTACCCCTTCTGTTCCGTGGGGGGAAGTGTGAGAAGCAAGCAGTCGACACAGGCCAATAGGCAGCGAGTTCAAAGGTCTGAAAAGGAAAGGCTGATTTTCCTGAGCAAATGCCCACCTGTGGCTCTCAAACCCACACCTGGTGCTAGACAGGAATTTGGTCCTTTGTGGTGGAAAATGTGCTTTATAGTCTTTGCCAAGCAGTGACTGGACCCTTGAAGCGTCTCTAACAACCAGCACAAGGTGCAGGGGCAGCTCTCATTCTGAGACCACCTATCTGGGCGACTTCTCGGCTTACTCGCTCTCTCCTCGAAGTCTCTTGTATCAACCTCTGCTCAGAGCTTCTTCTTTAAGTTCCTTCACTTGGTTTGAAATTTAAAAACCATTTCCCTTTGAAATTATCAGTTATCTTCTTTACAAATTCCTTAAGCAACAGAACTCAGCAAAGTTAGTTAATTGACCCGAAGTTGGAAGTTCACCATGGCATGAGCTGAAGCATCCCCTGGTGGACTCAGAAGCAGGTGAGCCAGGGCCTGGGCCCCGGGTGGAGTTCTGCATCCTCAGCACCAGACCTGTCTGTCTTGCGATGCCCCTCTTCTAGCACCGTCTGCACACATTTGCTCAAGGGCCTCAGCAACCATCTTTCCCGAGCTTCAGGCAAACAGGGCAGCAGGACAAGAACAGAACAGTGACTTGTGAAACCGTGAGGGCAGACTCCACTGTCAAAGGCAGGTGGTGATGGCCCTGGACAGCCCTGGGCATCCTGGGCAGATGTGTCACAAGCTGATCACAGGAAACCAGATACGTAGTTTGTGGAGGTGACAGGGGAGAAGGGCTGGTCAAACCGGGAAGAGCTGAGGCTGGAATATCAAGCTGATGCTCAAGCACGCAGTGAGGATTCTGTACACTTTAAACAAAAAATAGTGAGGAAGAGGCCCAAGATGAACCGGAGAACAGAGCTAGGGAGCCCAGGGGCAAGAGGAAGACAAGGGGGGAGAGAAACAGCTGGAGGAGTTGGGAAGCTGAATCTGATGCCATGATTATAACTATGTGTGAAAATTCTGTGTGTTGGTGGACAATGTTGGTTAAAAAAACACACACACAGAGAAAGATACAGCTACTGTGTGAGGGCAGTAGGCGCTAATAGATTTATTTTCCTTTAGTTACTGCACAAACGTTGTAACAATACAAAATAAAATCCACCCTCTGCTTTTCCTTTTTAGATTTTGAATAAGCACGCTGTGTAGGACATACAGCAAACATGTCATCCCCAATCCTAGTCCCCACGAATAGGAGAGAGAGGACCGTGGGTCTTCTGTCCCCATTAGGTACATTCAAATGACTGACTGGACAGTCCGCTGGTGGAAGACAAGTTCTACCACGTCCGTGAAGCAGCATGTGTAGGACTGTCTGAAAGACTATCCCCCCCCTCAAATCAAGGAAACCAAGATGATGACTTTGAAAATCCCTTTTGGCAACTTTATGCGTGAACTTGCAGAAGTCGGACCCCCGTCAAGGTCATTTCAACTGCTCCATGTGCGCTCTGGCCCTGGGCGCTGGTGGGCTGCAGATTTCTCTACGTAGTGCTGCTCAGACCCTGATGGGCATGTCAATGATTCGGGGATCTTTTTAAAACAAGGTTCTGAGGCAGTGCATCTGGCATTTCTAACAAACTCCCAAGTGCTGCCGATGCCGTTGGTCTGCTGACCACACTTCAAGAAGCCGAAGTTTAACAGGGGTTTTATACCCCTGGATTCTCTCTTCCAGGTAATTCACCCCGTTCTCACACAACCTCATTCTTCGTGGTGTGCATCCTCCTAAACAAGGACCCCCAAGGGCTCCCTATGGCCTCTCAGACCAAAGACCCCGGCTCACTTGTTTATTGTGTCTGACACTAAAGGCTGAGCTCTCTGGAAGCTCAGAGACTAGAGAACAACTTCTCATTAAGCTGGGTGCTAATGAGGGCAACAGTGACGCAAGGAGAAAGAGCGCGTGATGGCCTGGGTACACAAGGAGAGCGGCCCTGCAATTTTAGCTATACGTTAAAAGTCACATTACAGGGCAAGGTATAACAGAGAGCATTTGGTTTATGTCGTACGTCCCAGCATAAAAATAGGACCATCAGGTTATGTCCATCTTCACTGCTTTTCATAATCTTCAAAGGAATCCTGTAAATTCTTTCAAAGCAATTTCTATGATGTCTTACAATG